GGTCGACAGCGACGTCATTTGTGCGCGGCGTTCAACAACAGAAACAAAGAAGAACAACAGGAGGATGGAGGACGCTGTGATCGGAGCTGGTTTTGTTGTGTCTCGCAGGTTTCACAATAATGGACATGGAATGTCGACGTATACGTGAAGCGATTGAAAGAACGGAAAAAAGGACTAAGAATCTCCAACGACAACTGGCAGTGCTACATTTGCTACAAGTGCCTGCACTTCAGCATCCGTCCATCTATCGCTGTTCTCCATACTTGCGAAATAAGTTGACATGTTTACAGTATGTTTACACGGCATTTTAAATCATGGTGGGTGAGGGTGTTTTCGTCTACTTGCGTCACGATTAGTACCAGTTGTGCCGGTTAGATCCTGCTCCGGAGTAGGAGTTTTGGTTCTTGAAAAAGGCAGTCCGGTACTAAAATCGCACCCAGTTCCGGCTGATGATATGCGCGTTCTAATTTCAAAATGTTTTGTTATTGACGCAGTAAGTCAGACAGCTATTTACACTGCAAAAAATAAGGCCTATCTCTTTCCATAAAAATATAGGCTATAAACATTTTAAAATATATGTTTACCTTTTAGGTAAATTGCATAAATTAGAATAATGATGTCTCAAAACGCATTTATAGTCCGTATCTCATTTTCCTAACCTGTTGTAGGCTACCCTTAACTGCGTTAAACATGGTGTCACGTGGATGGAAATATGCATGGAAATGATATGCGGATGACGTTATGCATATTAAAACTAGGCGTTGTAAGCCCCACATATGGCTATTTCGAGGAGGAGACGGGGTGGCGATTCATGTACTCACAATCTTCCGCTGACTGGGTATTACAAAGGGAATTTTGTGAAGGTTCTGGCGTACGCATGGATTTATATACAGTGGGTACGGAAAGTATTCAGACCCCCTTAAATTTTTCACTCTTTGTTATATTGCAGCCATTTGCTAAATTCATTTAAGTTAATTTTTTTCCCTCATTAATGTACACACAGCACCCCATATTGACAGAAAAACACAGAATTGTTGACATTTGCAGATTTATTAAAAAAGAAAAACTGAAATATCACATGGTCCTAAGTA